AACCCCAATATAACCCTAATACCCATATCAAGACCCCTATGATGAAAGGAATCTCATTGCGGAGCACCGCAGCCAGGAGCTCCAAGATGCTACAAGCCCCTGGGAAAACTCTGAGCCTTGTAGTTTGGGGAGGGTCTAATGTACCTGGACCCCCAAAGTATGTNNACCTACTTTTGGGGTTTAGGTAATGTATTTAGCATTGGTGGGTTTAGGGTGGGGGAAGTCATCGAAAATGGTGGGTGGGGGGTGGTGACTACTACGGAGGATAACTTGAGGTTGGTTTGGATTTTCACTCTGGCTCTGCCGGGAGTAGAAGCACGTAAAGAGTCAACGGCTTGTGGCTCAGGAGCTTGGGCTTGAGGTTCAAGACGCCCCACTGTCACGATCCAGGTGTGGGGGTGTGTTTGGCTTGAAACAACAGTTTGAAAATGACATCATCGGCGTCCGCATGCTGGGAATCGTTCAGCCCTACGCTCGGCAATTCGCTCAATCTATCTGTAATTATTATGCGTGCGGGTGCACAGACAGCCAGTAAATTCACTCAATTGGATTGGCAACATGGTTTGATGGGATTTGCCGCCTTGACCCTGAAACTCCTTCTTTGTGTTTGGGATGCACGCTGTTGGTTCGCTTATTTCTGAGGAGTTGACAGTCAAGTAGTCAATGATGAAGCTCCGATGGCAGGGATCTAACTCATCAAGACAGGTTTGCTAAAGGCAGAGCCTGTGGCAAACTGCGGGGCTCGGTTGCCACTGGCTAAGACCGGCTAAGAGTAGCACAAACAGCCTCAGTTTGAAATCAAGTGTTCCGTCCCTACGGATTTGTAAACACAAAATCTCCAGGGCCACTGCGTGCTGCACCTTGTTGGAAGTTAAGCAGGCTTTTCATGACGCCGTGCTTGCCTCCTAAGGGCTCCAGCGCCTGTGTGAAGCCATTGATACAGAGGGGACAGGCCGTATCTCCTGGGAAGACTTCGAGGTCTTCGTGCCTGGCCGTGCATTTAAATTCAAATTCAAGGGAATCCTTTTGAAGGCGGAGCTTGGACTCCATTAGGGCGACAGGCCGCGCTGACCTGCATTCATCTGCGTATTGCTCGTCCACTTGCTTGTCTTCGCATAGGGCTAACCATGTTGCATCATCCTAGCCAGGATGGAGGTTGGTGCAATGCAGTGTGAGTTAGCGCCAAGCGAGTGCCAAGCAACAGCAACGAGAGCGTGTAATGCTGGGCCCGGCTTGAGCGCGCTTCAACAAGCGGAGGTTTCTGATGAGTCGGCCCTGATCTACCTTGCTTCCCTTGGGCTCGAGATCCATGACGCAAAGACTTTTTTTGACATGCTCGCCGGCGTTGCAGCTGACAAGTACATCGACATTGAGACCTTTGTCAAAGGCTGCCTGTCGGGATCTGTCGGAATACTTGGCCTTCTGTAGAGCTGACATGAGGACATGCTAGCTGGAATATGCTGAGCCCTGCGTTCATATCATTTTTATGATTGGTTAAAATCTCCTTTAAGCCTTCCGCTATAGACCCCGCACCCTAAATGCTATGTTTGGCGTGAGGCATGTTGACGTGCCCTTCTGCATCACAGGCTTGCGCTCACGCGTTGGTACCCTTCCCCTTTGCCCCCAAAATGTGTGAGTTTCGTTTCATACTCTGGTCCACACTTGTTCCGTACCTGTACCAGATCACGAACACAAATCATTGAGCTCCATGAGCCACGTGAGTTCACGTTCCTGGCCCTATTGGTCAAGGCGGATGCGAATTGATGACTCGGGTGTCCCAAACACCTTCATTCTGGAGTAACACCCAAATCTCAAATAGAGATAAATAGAGAAGAAGCCAAAGACCTGGACTAAGCTCGCCCATGCCCCGGATCTCAGGCTGTATGCGGATGAAGGGCCCAGCAACGAGCATTGACATGCTGTCCATGGCCTACGAGGCCTCTTCGGCTCAAGTTCAGCAAAAAAGGCTCTGGAGGGCCTCGGTGTTGTTCGTGTTTAATCGCAGTAGTGGTTACGGTTAGTACTGATCAGCGAGTCGCGAAGTCAGCATGCAAACACGAGATGTAGCTAACGTAGGAGCTCCACAGCTCTGAAATGATGCCAGTACCCCCACACTCCCGGACAGGCCCAGCACCTCCTAACGCCTTGAGGCATTTTGTGGGTTCAAGTTCCAAGCCCTAAACCATCTACAACTTCTCATCTAAAACAGTATCCACCCAAGCACCCCTATATCTTCCAAATCAAGGAACGCTGACGGTCGTGGCAAAACCCTGAATCCTGAAACAAAGTCATCAGGTCACCCTCATGCATCGGCAAAGCAATCGAATCGAGCGAAACCTCGCTGAAGTCCAGGCGTTTCAGAAGAAGGCCTTGCCAATGATTGTCGTGCATAGAGTAAAGGGACTTGGTAGCCAATCCTGTGGTATGTTTTCTTCAGGCTTCGGAGCACCTCTGACAGTACACTTGGGCAAACAGACGTGAGGTGCATTGTTCACTGTCTTCAAAGTATCTAGGCTAATCCCTTGATGGGCCATGCTTTCTAGGTCAGGCTTGAGGTAGACTTGAGTTTGGACACCCAGCTAGGTATGATGCTACAGACGTTGCCGGTAATCCTTATTACAAACCCAGGTTGAAAGTTGGTCCTAGTTTTGCTTGGACTACCTGACTAGGGTAATAGCGTAGACTTGAAGGTGTAAGTTTGGGCTTGAAGCTCGAGATTGTGTGGTCTAGTGTCTGTCTCTAAAGGGGATGGCTTGCGTTAAGCTCCCCTGCAACAACCTTGAGTTTGTTCCGGGAATTGCCTGGACTGGTCGAAGGTACAGCTTGCGTGTCCCATGCGAGGTGGAGCGGCTGCTACAGGATCCCGCAGGAGGTGCGACCCTTGGAGTAGGTTTCCGCGCTAAAAGTGGGTCATGCTGAAGGGAACCTAGCCAATGAGCGTGTTTACCATTTTGGTACCACATTGAGCATTCATGTGTTGGAGCTGCGTATGCTCGTGTTCTGACTTGAGCAAATAAGCCTGCAGCGATAGATGGTCCAATCTCGTAAATGTACTGTCATTGAATCGTTTCCATTTTCTTTTCCATTATCCCTATATATACCCCAATATAACCCTAATATATACCCCATTATAGTAGTTTCCATTTTATTTTCCATTATCCCTATACAACCCCAATATCATAACCCTCTATAATCCCTATAATCCCTGTAGTTTCCATTTTATTTTCCATTAGCCCACAATCAATTCATCAATCTAGCCTATAATCCCTCTGACAGCGCCCGTCTAAGTAATTGTCGCGCATAGCATGCAGGGCACCGCCCGTTTTGGAATCGTAAGATATGATGAGTAGTAGTAATGGTAATCGTAAAACTAATAGTGATAACAGTAGTAGTAATAATAGTGATAGTAATACAAATAATAGTAATAATAACAATAATGTAGGGGCTTGTGGCTGGTGGTCGGCTGCCGTGTCTGTGTAGATCAACGTTGTAACTGCTTACTCATCAGGGTGGGCACCTGGGAATGTCAAGGACAAGGTAGAAGGTCTAGAGTCTGGGGGTATTTGGGACCGTATCTGGCGTATATCCAGCTACATGTATGCGCACGAAAGATCTTTCCACAAGGGAAGCACTGGTTTATGCACATGCTAGTTGCTGTGCTGTGCTGCACAGCTACAAGAGACCCCAAAAGGGGTTCATGAGCTCAAGATCATTCCGATTGTCATTGCCTTTGCGCGGGTCCCAGGTCCTGGTGCAGAACGCCCGCAGCTGTTCACGGATGCTTTTTGACCAGTGAGTCAGGCGCACACAAGCATGAGATACCCGCTCTGGACCACAGCTTTCTACACAGCCCCATTATAGTAGTTTCCATTTGATTTTCCATTATCCCTATACAACCCCAATATCATAACCCTCTATAATCCCTATAATCCCTGTAGTTTCCATTTTATTTTCCATTATCCCACAATGGGTCGAGACAAGCTCCTGTTACATGGATAGAATATCGGTATCACAGGACTTTGGGACGAAATTTCAAGGATGCTAAAGCAATGTGAGGTTGTCCCACCTGTGGTTTAGCTGAGGATTTAGATGTTTAGATTTTTTTCGCCAGTTTTCAAGGGACGTAGGAAAGCATGACACTGGGGTCCGAGCATCCGGATTAGCAGCTTGATATCTGCCACATGCCGCATATAGCGCAACGCGATATGGCATCCTGGTCTTGGCGGGGATGGTTTTAGAGTGTGCGCACAAGCAGCGCATTTTCCCCGCAAGTGGTCTCACATTCGCCTCCATATGCAATACCTTGTTCGTTCTTACATGCAACTCGGGCTTGGGCCCCTGTAATAAAAGTTGCCTTGCTTCAGGCTTCGCAGATCAGAACAGGCGAAATGTAGTCCAACACTGTTTCACAACGTATTCTCCGTTAGGCTCAACAACTTCGACCGCACAACTTGTACCAGGAGGCCCGCAATCCCGAAACTGTGAATGCCACAAATCCCAGCCCTACCTATGCCTGCCGCCGTACTTCTGAGAAGACGATTTGTTCCCTGGCTAGGATCTTGTCAACAAATGTGACGTACCAAATCACAGGATGTATCAAAATTCGATACCCAACCCCACACAAATCGAATAGCTCCTCAACCTCTTCTGTCGTCTTTCCTTAGACTCTGTGTTTCTGGCGAGAGTCAACAGAGTTGCCTCTGACAGTTGGCTCGGCCAGGCTGGCCTCAGAGGTCCCTGATCATCAGAATCATTAGAATCCAGAATGGCTTAGGCAATTTTTTCAAAAGGGTTCAAGCTTGAGGCCTAAAGCGCATACTGTGAAAAGGTTAGGGTGGGGATTTGGCATCTTGGGAGGCCCGGGTGGAGATCGAATCTAAGGGCCTGTGTCAGGCTCGTGTGAACTATAGTCTAAACTCCTAGTATCCACCCTGATAAGCCCTATCATAGTCCCCTATAAGATCCCCTATATAACCCCCTTGAAGAGGGGTTTAGACTATAGCTCATGTGACTATGGACGAAATATTCTGATGCAGAAAGGGCTTGCTGCTTGAAGCTCTATGAAGGGTCTGCCCACGCATGGATCCAAGCTGTTGATTCAGGACGTCTCTGGCCTTGAGCAACAGAGCGCTGTGATACGACAAAAAAGCACAGGGCAGCAACTGGTTTTTAGAATTTGTAGATACAGTTGATGGCAATTTTTAGCACCAAATTCATAGTGTATTGCGATGGACGTCAACCACTATATTAGTGTAGGAAGCCGCCACTCGAAGCATAGCTGATTACAATGAATGTCTCTGGAAAAACTGACGGTAGTCCAAAGTTACCATGTATAGCATTCACACAATGATTGGCTGTGAGGAGCACCCAGGTGAAACGCTGCGAATCCAATCCTTTGTCGCTAGCGTGCAGGAGCATGAAGCTACAACAGAGAACATAAGTTGCAACAATGCCATCGATGTTTTTCATCACCATACGAACAGTACGACGCAGTAGTGCACCGAGACTGAGACATCATCCCGGAAGGACTAACATGGATTCTTCTCCGGTTGGCGATCTTTTGGGTGCCCACAGCATTGCAGAACTCTCCTGACTGTGATCGGTGGTTTGTTTTGTGTTGCCACCAACCAGCCCCTCATCCCCAGATAATAGGATGACAAACATGTTGTAGCTGCAGGCCCAGATTCAAGTACCATCGCCATCAGCATCTTAAGAAAAGAATGCTGTATAAGCCGAATGTTATCATCCTCTTTGGGAAGCAATCGAACCTGCACCCAATTCTCATGATCTGGGCCCCTTCATAAGAGAACTTGGTGCCCTCGCACTCAGGTGGAACGCCACGAGATTCAGCACCTGCTCCGCTTGTTTCACCTCCCAGAGGATGTTGCAGATCAGGCATTTCTGGGGGCGATTGAGAATTTTGCCAAAGCCTCCATTTTGCCAGTCCCAGGAATTTGTGCCAGAAAGCGACCCAATTTGGAAAGTATTCGCAACATTTCAGACAACTCCCGAGATGCTTTTGGCTCCTCATTCAATTCTTGTTCAGCTTGTGAAATCTCCAGCCCTTGCGCCATCCTTGTAGGGTCTGACGCTTTATGGGTACCACCAAGGATATTGTTGAGCATTGTTTTCCTACAGAGGCCGTAGAGACGCTTCTACAGAGACCCATTTCAAAGGCCTGGGAGCGCCATCTGCTCCTAGACTTCTATGATTATTGTCAGGCCACTCTCCATGCTAGTTGCCATCTGGGCCTCATGCACTACCTGGCCTGCTCTCAAGATTTGGGATGTTGATTCGAGGTCCCAGCAGTTACCGTCGTGCACATGGGAGAAATGCGGGCTTGATTCTTGTACCACAGTTAGCAACTCGCAAGCCAGTGTTAAGTCGTCAGATAGGACGTGCATGAGCAGTCTCTTGTCAAGCCTCTAACTTCTGCCAAATGAAAAACTAAGCGAGTTTGCTAATGCTAGATAGTGTCACGCATCCTGCTGGCTGTTACGGGATCTCGGCAGCATGAACGAGAACGAGTAGTTACCCAAACTAGGGCCTGCTCAGCGTACGGTACCATGAGGCAAGCTCGGCAACACAGTTTATTGAGCAATCCGACGTTGTCGTACAGGCTTCTTAACTTCCACCGCCATGACGGTCCGCCGCCGCGCTGTTTCCTGCGTTGCTCTTGCGACGTTTTCGCTTGGGCGACGCAGTCCGCATTTACAGCCCAGCAGTATCCTGATTGAAGGGTCTGTTTTGTTGGATTTCGCAAGCCCCTGACAGGATCTCGGCGTGGGAGGGCGTATTCTGGCATTTCAGGATGCTTGCAGGGCAGGGGTGAAGGTTGGCAGCCGGCTGCTCGGGTTATGGCATTTTGGCAGGGTTCAGGTCGTCTCCAGATGGTTGAAATATGTAGCTCGAGGCTTCAGATTGTAGTTCTTTGCTGGTTTGCTGGCTTTCCAGATCTGTACTTGTAGCTTCGCTTGCAAAGAAGCATCTCCCCACTCCCCATGGTAGAGCGATCATAATTTCCAGACCAAGAGTAGATAAGGTACTCTTCACGTTTGAGCACAAATGGGTCCTCATGAATTAAAACCAGCTTCATAGATTGAACCTACAGCGCTAGTGGTTGCGTCCCCGACTGGCCCATCATCTGCCGAGGTCTCTATGGAACTTTGCATTGCCATTGCCTGGAAGAACAGGCATCACCAAGTTACTTAAGCTCCAGCATCCCCCAAGTAAATATCTAAGACACAATGTAGGCGGCTCAATTGGACGTAGGCATTATAAAGCCCATTTTGGATTGCGCGCTTGTTTCCGAACCGTAGACTTCATCCGCACTCTTGAATCTCTTCATGGGTACTCTTTCACCTGGATTAGCGAAGCTGCTTGAAGTTTATACCAGGAGTGGTACGGGCCTCATTCAACATTGAACTCAATCCAGGCTCAAAATTCCTATCACAGCATCAACTTTGAGAACCTACCCTTGC